ACAGATGAAAGCATTCATTTCAGGTTTCCCCAGAGCTTCAGATAATTCAGCTGTGCTCAAGCACACAGATATACAAAGTCAACTCAAATACTTCTCAACCTTAAAAAAAAAAAATGGAATCTATAATATAGATTAATCAGAAGTTCTAGTAGTTCTACCTGTATTTGGGGGCTGAAAAGGAGATTGACTTGCTGTGGGGAAACCTCCAAAGTTACTCGAACCACTAGACTGTCCAAATGCATCAAAGTTTGCAAAACCTGCATTTGCAGAGTTCTGCGCTGTAAATTGTAAAGGAACAAAACACATTAATGGATATGAAAAAACAAAAACAGATGTATTAACTGAATTTATGGTATGGTGATTTGAGTTCATGTCTACCACCTTAATATTTTTCAGCACAAATGAAATATATCACTCATCCATATTACAATATAAATCCTTCAACTCATGTTTTAAACTTTTCATGTTCACTTGTCATGATCCAGCGAACTCCCACTTTTCTAAAGCTTGCTTCTTTCAAGCATAACAGCAATATGTCACTATTCAATATCCACACTCAGCACTGAGAAGCAAGGTTTGTTTGGCAATACATCACTGGACCAACTACATATTTGGAGATATGTTAGACAAGCTTTTGGGTAGAAACCATCCTCTTTCAAGTCTGGGAAAGAAGCATGTAAAAAGTCTAAGCTAAAGCCAGGTACAAAATTGCATCTACCTCTCAGCTACACAGATGGTGAATAAGAGTTATTACTACACAAACCTGGCTTTTGTAACATTTTAGATAGTATATTATGTAGACGGAAGCACTCAGGCCGCTACTTCATTAAAGCATAATCATAAAAATTGACCAAGCCAAACAAGGAAACAACAGAGTGGATGTATAGAAAGCCTTTCTGTTCCTATGTAGCCTTCCTTTTAAACACTAAGTATAATGGGACCATTAACACAAATTGCACAAGCAACATTAAGCATGAAAAGTGACCCTATGCAAGGTTTGTACTCTCACCTCATTTCCTTCTGCACCATGACATTGCAAGGAAATGGGAATTTACTAGGCCCAACTCCTACCCAAGAGAGGGAAGTTGAATGGCTAGGACTTTCAGAGCACTTTCTATACTTGTCTGTAGACTTTAGTGACCAGGCACGAATGCTAACTTGTGAATCTCTCTCTTTTTTTTTTTTTTTTTTTTTTGTGTGTGTGGAGGGGGATGAGGGACAGGGTTATGTCACTATTTTAAAAAAACATTTTCAGTGACAAGGCACATTCATTTAGCATATACATCCAAAGCTTTGTCTGTAAAGTACTAGCCACTGCTTCCAATTTAACCCAGACCCAGTTGAGTTAAGTCAGTATCATAACATGGAGCAAGTAAGCAAGGCACCAGCTCACTGGAATGGCAGTCCCTCAGGGAGTTTGTCTCAGAAGCTACCTCAGGCTGCAAAGTAGCAGCTAGATGTGGGGTACCACAGCAGCTGCCACTGCCAGAGGTTGCCAGACAACAGGGCAGAAACAGCTAGGATGTTCTGAGGCCCTGAGGTAGGCAAGACTGACCACCCTTTCCCCATCCATCCCTTCTCTCCAGTACCTAGTATGTTCCTGACCACCACTTGGGGTTTTCTCAGGGCACAAACCTTGTCAGCTACACCTTAAATTAAACATCCCCCAAAAAAGTAAGTTAGAGAAATGCTGATATTTTAAGTATTACTGCAGATGATGCTGGCAGTAGAGAGGATTAGTAGGAAAAGAGAACCAATTAAAAGAGCATCCAACTCTACGTATTTAAAAACTAAAGAGAAATTTGTGTGTAAACAAAAAACTGCATTTATTAAACAGCTAGTCAGATAAACAGTTGTGAAAATACTAGAAAGCACCTCAATCATTACAGCTGGTTTTATTTCAGACCACCTTTAGAAGCTACCTATTATACAAACTGTAACAATGACAGTGACCAGCACACAGGCTTAGGCAAGTTTCACCTTTGTTCAAAATAGAACTCCACTACCTGGGGAGAAGGAAGGGAATAGTTTGGGAACTGCTGTGCTAAGATTCGTTTTACTGACACCTTTTAAAGAAGACGAGAATGAAAGCATGCAGGCTGAGGCTCAATTTATACAATCTGGAGGCGATACCAATTTACTAAAACAATTATTTGGCGGTACTGCCCTGACACACAATTCACTAGATTAATATTCTTGTGAAAACGCAAAAAACCCCCCAATATATACAAGAACATACTACTTTAAAAACAATCTTGCAATAGTTGTTCAAACCTTTGTGGCTTTCAGATTGGAGCACATTTGTTAGACAAAGAGGTTACATCTGAAGTGAACTGGAAGGGAACAATAGACTTAAGAGTCGAGATATGAGCGATATTGGGAACCAAAGTATAATTTTCAAAACATGTCATCAAGTTTGAGTCTTCTATTGATAAACCCAAGGCACTACAGGACTTGTGGAGGTCTACTGTGCAGTCACTGTTGTGACATAGGTGCATCATTCTGAACCAAGTAGTTTAATGCATTTTGAGTCTGCCTGGAAGAGATGCAGCCACAACAGACACCTTCAGACTACTGAAAGGACTACAACAGAAATACCCTCCATTTAGTCAGTGAGTTTTGTATCCAAGTGTGAGATAAACATTCCTTTTGACTTGGGAATGAACACATTTTCTCTTTTCACACTAAACATGTCTGTAGTTATTTTAGGTTCATCTAGAATCAGTAATTGTCATTACTGAAAAAAATTATAAAATTGTGTTGTTGAAGCCTCCCCCATTCTCCCAATTTTCTAATTGCATATTGTGACTAAGAGGAAAACCTTGCTTAACATGGAAAAATCTAATTGTTTCAAGGTACGCCTTCATCTAATTGCAGTGTATTTTGTTAAGCATTTTTGGCACCTCATTACAGAAGAAAAACCATAGATTTTTCTGCCACTCGTACTCTAATCAATGTGGGGGGTGGGGGTTGTTTGTTTGTTTCATTTCTTAAACAGATTGGACTTTCAATCCAGCCAAGACATTTCACTATTCATATTAGTAGAGGATTTCTCATCAGCAATATTTCTCATTATTGGCAGCATTATGATACTGAGAAACCAACCAAAGAGATTTAATAGACATTAGAGGCTGGAAGGGACCTCATGAATTCAAGTCCAGCCCCCCTGCCAGAGGCAGGAAGTCTGCAGGGTTCAAATGATCCCAGCAAGATAAACATTCAAATGCCTTTTGAATGAGTCCAGAGTAGGTGCTTGCACCATCTCTGTGGGGAGTCTGATCCAGACTTTGGACACCTGGACTGTAAAGAAGTTTTTCCTTATATGGAGTCTGAATCGGCCTTCTAGAACGCTGCGGTCGTTAGACCTAGGTTATCCCTTGGGACTATCTAAATGGATACAGAAAGTGAAGGCATAGTAATAGACATATTGGGCTTTTCTGAGGCCTCCACCCAGACGGAGCTCGTGGTGGGGTCGGTGGCCCCTTGCCCCCCTGTCTGTGGAGGGGGCTTGGTGGGGTCCTGGGTGGGGGGTGGGGCTGGGAGGTCTCCTTGCCTGTCCCTCCTGGGCAAGACTTGGGGCCCTGGAGGAGCAGGTAAGTGACCTCCAGGCTGCAGTGAGCAGGCTGAGGGGGATCAGGGACGCAGAGGATGAAATTAATGCCTATTTCTATTTT